TAAAGGTGCAAATTTCCAATGATGGATGTCATTATATTGTATACCTAAAATGTACCAATGATTAGAATGAATAATTGATAATGTAAAATAGGAAGAAAAGGTCCAAAGGTGTAGGGGTAGTGGGAGGGGCAGGGGAAAGGAAAGAAGGGAAAGGAAAAATGATGAGAAATGGAAAAAATGGAAATAAAGTCTTTGTAAATAGGGAAGGGTGGAGGGCATGAAAGGAGGGCTAGGAATGGGGGAAAAATAAGAACCAAGATGCAGTGTGTAAAAGTACAATTCCCAATGAGAAATGTAATTGTGTTGTATACCTACAATGTACCAATAAAAGAATTTAATAAAAAAATAAAATAAATAAAAAATAAATTGCCTTTTCCTGCACTGCCCATCTAACATTTAACAGTAGCTTTCCTAGTCCCCTCCCACTCCCCCAATCCACACAGCATTAATCATTCAGTCCCCTCCTGGGCTCAGGCAGCATGTAGTTCTCATGTGTGTGTGTGTGTGTGTGTGTGTGTGTGTGTGACAAATTCTTACTCATGTTTTTTAAAACTTAATGCAATAATTTATTGAGTTCTAGTTTATATGCATTAAGATGCAACCATTTAAGTGTACAGTTCCATGAATTTTAAAAATACTCACCCATAAATTACACTCATGTAACCCCAACTTTCATCAATATATAGAACATTTCTGTCTCCCCAGAAAGCTCCTTTTGTCCCTTTCAATCACATCCTGACATAACACCCTAGGCAACCACCCATCCTCGTGACATGGCAGCTTAGTGCTGGCTGTCACCAAACTTCATATAAATGGACTGAGGCAGAACACTTCCTCATGTCTATCTGCATTTGACCAGCATGACACCTGAGAGGTTGATCCATGCTGTTAGATTACCATGAACTCATTTCTTCTGCCCCATTCCCAGCACAGTGACTATTGAATTAAATAGGTTCAATTAAATAGATTCCCACATCAAAATGACTTCAATGAGGTGACTGATACCAAATTGTGCATTACACTTTAATAAAGTAAGAAAATAAGATGCTCTATTCCTTACCATCAGCATTCTAGAAGGTTGTGTTAGTGTTCACTAGAGGAACAAAGTCAACACTTTATATATATAATTAAGCAAGGACATTGATTAGGTAGGCTTAAAGAATCAGAGTTGAGAGACTATACAATGGCTATCTATTCATTGAAGAGCAATCTAGTAGCTGCTCAACCCAAGAAGCTGGAGGCTGAAGAATGAGAGGGATTGAGGAGGCGGCAGCAGTCTGAGACTGAAGCCCTGGAAGCTCCCTGGAGAGTCTCCGTGTAAATATGCAGAGAAAGGCTGAGGACGCTGGAGTCTACAGGTGAAACAAGTAGCAGAAGATGCCCCGTCAAGCAGAATGGAGCTTTTCCAACACAGGCTGACTTCCTCCTTCTTCCCCTTTCATTCTATCCAGGATGCAAGCCTATTGGATGGTGCTGCCTACAATCAGGTTTGGTCTTCTCCCTCAATTTGTTGGCCTACATGCCAATCATCTCTGGAAACACCCCACACACACCCCAAAGTATGTTTTATTAATCTGCTAGGTGACTTAATCCAGTCAAATTGCTATATCATGATTAAGGAGCACAGAGGAAGAAAAATAAAAAGACCCACCAGCACTCTGCACATTTTCCTCTCCTCACAAAGCCTAGAGCTGATGAAGGAAGGAGAGAGGGGGACCTCAGGGGAACACACAAGCAGCCAGTGTCCACAGCAGAGGTAGACCGCAGAAGTAAGCAGTCACTTCCAGCTGAAACTGAAATAAACCACCGAAACTTCTAGCTTAAATCAGAAATTAATCACTAGCAGTAGTTTCAATAAACACTTCCCCAGGTAAACATCACAGTCAGACGTAGGTTCATTTCATTTTAAGATAATTAGCTTAATAAAAGCTAAATTTACAGCATGAGTTGTTCTATATTACCTCGGAATTATAGGAATTATGCACCCTAATGCCTAATGGAATTAAATGGGAATCTATGTTTTTCTCAATAAGTCTGTTAAATAAACAAATGGAGTTATGCTGTCTTTGTGATTTCCTATGTTTTTGCAATTTTTCAAATTAAAGGCACATAGGTGATAGGCGAATGAATGAAAGCAGAAGAAAGTCATTTTTCAGGTTTGTGGGGTGCACTTCACCTCTTTGAACCTGGCTGCACTTTCCCCAAGAGCAGACACAGCCTCGCTGGCCAGAGTCTTCCTCCTCCTGCTTCTCCTCTTCCTCTTCCTTCTCCTCTCCATTAACTCTTCTTTCTGTTTTCATTAAGCATGGGTTCCTCTTTCTCCAATGTCTACATATCAACTACATTTGGAATTCACCTATATTTACTACCTTAATGTGAACCCCCTCTTTTTTGCAAGGAAGAATCTTCATGGGCCATATATCCAAATGTCACATTTCAAAACATGTTGAAAACTAAAGAGTCTAAGTCCTAAGCTTCAAAGCTCAGACTTGTAATGGATATTCTGACTGATAACCCTTAATTAAGGTCTTTAAATATACACAGTCTCTTATTGGAGTCGGGCTTTCAGAAGAAAACTCCTGCCTAACAGATTGAAAACATGGACAGTAGGGTGTAATTCCCTGAGCTGCAGGGAGCTACAGATCAGAGGGAATGAGAGAGAAACTCTAAGGATGCTTTGAGTATGAATTTTATCCTTCACAGATGTTATCAAAACTGAAAGAGGTGACAGAGCCAGCACAAGAAGAAGCAAATGCTCTGGGCTGACACACAGTTTATTTGCTGGGATTTGGAGCGATTTGAAAGGAAAGATAGCAGAGGAATAATAGCTTTATGCACACAGGCTGGTGAGTGGGAGGCCAGAAACAGGGAAGCCCCACTGATCACACTTCAGTGACTCAAGAGTGACAGACACCATGGGAACCCAGCTACCCCACATTCCCCAAGCCCAGCGTCAATGCTGCCCCTCCTCAGTGTGCCAGCAACAGGATGTGCTGTGACCAAGGTGCTACCATAAATAGAGGTCACTCTCTTCCACTAAACTTCTTAACAGTACAGGATTTGAGTGCCAGCTGCACACCACGATGAGATGAGCCTTTCTATATTCCCACCACATACATGGTCAGCCAACAAGAATGGCAAATTGCTGTTTCTGATACCACAGCCCATTTGACAGAAAGAGTCAGCCTGAAGTTTAGTTTAGTGACCAGGTGGGCAGGAAATTTAGGATGAAACCACCAAAACAACCACATTGAAGTGGACCTAAATCAGTCCAGTCTAGTTCTTTTTTTGATACTGGGGATCGAACTTGGGTCCTTGCACTTGTGCTGCATGGAAGCGAAACCACTGAGCTAAATCCCCGGCCCTAGTCCAGTCTAGTTCTATGTGAATCTCACATAAACAGAAAACAATCTTTTACATGCAGGACATGCTTATACTAAGAAATGATCTGCTGTTTATCTCAAATTTGAATTTACCTGGGAATCCTATATTTTATTTGCCATATCTACCAAATGGATCCTCCTCCCTGAACCTCATTTTCCTAGTTCATTTCCATCTTCGTAGCAATGCCTGTCTCACAGGGTGGCTGAAGATCCACTGAGATGCTGTCGACTCCATACAATGCTCACACACTGTTGACTATCACGGGTTGTGATCATGATAAATTGAGCTCTTAATTATTCTTCTCCTTCCCCACTGTCTTTGTCTGCCTTTTAGCCATTTCTAAATGCTAAACGTTTCATAAAGGTCATTGTATGTTTCCTTCATGGTGGAACATTTCTTTTCTCGACTTGGAAATCACAACACTGGGGGTCAGATGTAGAGAAAGAAGGTGAGATTTAAAAGTGACAGCTGGTTTTACCATAAACAGCTGTAGAATTTAGTCCAATACTTTTTCTCTAACTAGTGACAGGATCATTTGGCTTTCTCCTTTCCTGTTAAAATGATGACTTTTGGGGGTGGACCTTCCAGTGCTGAACCAACACTGCCATCCCTATAATAAAACCACTTTCTACATCCTGCCAGGTCTGACTTCTAATAGTTTGTTTTGTTAAACAAATTTCTATCTATGTTCATACTTTTTTCTTCTATTATCTTTATCCAGTTTTAGGATTAGCACAATGTTGATTTCCTAAAATGAGAGGAAAAGTGTTCCTTCTTTTCTCTGCTTTAAATGTTTAATATAATTTATTAGTTAAAATGTATATGAGCCTGCTGTTGTCATATAGGTAGGTTTTCAAGCTAGGAAAATACTTTCTTTAATAGGTGTTATTCAAATTTTATATTTCCTCCAGAGTTAGTTTCATTAGTTTGTCTTCCAAGGTACTTCTTAGAAGTTGTCAAATTTATTTCAAAACAGATTTTTGTAATATGCTTTCTACACCCTTTTAAATTCTGTAAAAATCTGTGGTAATGTCTCCTAGATCTTAATATTATAATTTTAAAAATGTATAAATGATATTGTGTAACAGGAAGAAAAGGTCTAAAAGAGCAGGGGAATTGGGAGGGGTAGGGGAAGGGAGAAAGGGAAAGGAAAAAATATGAGAAGAGGAAAAAAATGGAAACAAAGTCTTTGCAAATGGGGAAGGGTGGAGGGGGTGAAGGTAGGGCAAGGGAAGGGGACAAAAATGAGAACCAAGAGACTCATGTAATGGTACAAGATCCCAATGATGAATGTAACTGTATTTTATACCTAAAATGGACCAATAAACTTAATGGGGAAAAAAAAGATTTTTGTAATATGCTTTCTATATCCTTTTAAATTCTGTAAAATCTGTGGTAATGTCTCCTAGATCTTGATACTGTAATTTTAAAAATGTATAATTGCTATTATGTAATAGGAAGAAAAGGTCTAAAGGAGTAGGGTAAGTGGGAGGGGTAGGGGAAAGGAAAGAAGGGAAAAGAAAAAAATGGAAATAAAGTCATTGCAAATAGGGAAGGGTGGAGGGGGTGAAGGGAGGGCAGGGGAAGGGGAAACAAATAAGAACCAAGAGACTCATGTATGATGAATGTAACTCTATTTTATACCTAAAATGTACCAATAAACTTAATGGGGGAAAAGAAGTGACAGCTGGGCCTCCTCAGTCTCAAGGCTTATCTGCTGACGCTGTTCTCCCCCCAACACCACAGTTCTCTGTGGCCGTCAGACAGTATCTTTTATTTCTCAGCCAGAAGATAACGACCAGGGTTTGCACAATATGTCTCTAATCTAGCCACTTGCTTTTGAAAGGGAAATATTGCCAACTTCAGAGATCTGCTCGGAGGTAGAAATAGACACTGAGTTCCATCCGTCCACTCACCCCGCACACTTTTTTGGCCAGGGAGGTCCCATTAACCACAGCCAGCAAATGCTCACTTCAGAACAGCTCCCACCACATCTGTATGCCATTCTGCTGTGTCCAACATAACGTCTAACTGCATATGTGCATCAATAATCTTTTATTGTGTCATAATGTATTTTAGTGTGTGGATAGCTATTATCTTTTAGAGGCCCCCATTTAGATTTATGGAGCAAAAGAGAAAAGTTTTTTAAAAATGTAATCTAATTAATCTGAGTGCATTTGTATGCCTATTAAAATTCACCTGTCCGGGATTTGCCATTTATCATGATTACAAGAGAACAGCCATGCTGAGAAAGGGGATGCCTCTTCATTTAATAAGAAATGATGATTTATTATCCAGGATACTTTTAGTAAGGGTCTAGATCTAATGGACAGGTCTGTGTGACAAACTCTCCATGCATACTGTAAAACTAGACATGTCCCTTCATGTTGGGCACCTCCCAGTGATGCTCTGAGACATGCTTATGTGCTGAGGACCCTACAGAGCCCCAGCAGGGAAAGGGAAACCGTCTTTCAGGTGGTTGGTAAGTGGGCAATCCCTCCTTGATTACAGATGACAAGGCCACTGGTACACGGAGTCTGACCTCACTGGGAGACGGTGTAGGAAAGGTGGTCCTATGGAGTCCTCAGTACCCCATGGGTAGTACCCCTTGCTCTGGGAAGGAAGTTTTCTCCTCTGTAAGCACAAGCAGTAGGAACTTGACCTGGGGCCACCTTCTTGTACTAAAACTAAAAAGCAACTTCCCTATTCAACTAGACCTAAGAAGAGCAATGCTCATCTATAAGTCTTCATACCCCCAATAACTGGCCAACAGGAGCTTGATATTAAATTGAGCAAAGCTAACAAGAAAACCCCAGGAGAGGAGGCACTGAGCCCCTGAGGAGTCCCTGAGATGCACCTGAAAAGCACAGCCAAAGGCTGAGCCCCCCTGGCAAACAGCAGAGTTGGAGCATTCAGTGGAATTATCCTGGAACATATTCCATTCCCCTTCCTTCCGCCTCTTGGGGGACATGGCCTATGTCCCTAGAATGAGGGCTTTTTGGTCTGTTTGGGGCTGAAGTTGATTACGTGTAACTTTGTCTTCTGGGAGTTCCTTGGCACTGGGGTCCATGCTGCCACTGAGGATGAGAGATCTCCCACTAAACAGCTTGAGTGTCCAGTCAGATAGCAACACCACATCCAGCAGGAGTCCACTGTGCGGAAGAACAGGACCTGGAGTGAACCCCTGGGACAAGCTCTTCCTATATTTTCTTGGTTTTTTATTTGTTTGTTTGTGACACCGGGGATTGAACCCAGAGCCTTCAACTGAGCTACAATTCCAGGCCCCTCTTTTTTCTTTTTTTTTTGAGATAGGGTCTCACAAAGTCACTAAGTTTCCCAGGCTGGGCTCAAGCTTGCGATTCTTTGGAATGCTGGGGCTAGAGACACGTGTCACCATGCCGGACTTCCATGTTTCAGCTGAAAAGAAAGAGAGAATAAACAGTACAGACAGCTCAGAACACCAAGTGAACCAAATGACGTCACAATCTATACTTCTCAATGTAATGGAGACCCAGGAGTTCCTGCAGAGAGAGCCTACTGTGTAGGAAAGCTTCATGGAGGAGAGGGCACCACAAATGAGCCCCAAAGAGTGAGTCACACCTGAGCACTGGTGATCATGACTTTGCAATCCAAGCACAGCACCTTCGCTGAGCTAATGAACGTCCTCGGAACAAGTCAGTGTGCAAAGAGGTCATGGGACCTGTGACTTCACCTGGGATCCCCACAGTAGAGCCTGCAACAGGGATTTCTAAGCAAGATGTGGATCATGAGATGATCCTAGCAATCACAGACAACAGAGTGGGGAGTGAGGCAGGGAAGCAAAGGCAGCCAATGGGGGGTGCCTTAGTGAGCTGGCTGCTGTTGTGGGCAACCGGAGCTCAGTCCTCCTGGGCACCTCTGGGAGACTGCAGATCACACCTCAGGACAGTTCCACAGAGGGGGCAAAGATGCTGGGGTGTTTATCCACCAACATCTGCTGGGATTGGGACTGGGATTGGCTGCCTTGAGACCACAGAATGGTCTCAGATGGAGAATCCTGGTGCTTGCTGTCAGAGCTATGGTATATGTGAATGGCCATACCAAAGAGGATGTAGGAGGGGCAGTGACAGCATCTGCTACCACAGGAGAGAGCATATGGGACAATCAAAGAAGCCCTTCTAATGAGGAAGAGCAGGTAGGACTTAGCTCACTGAGGGCAGTGGGGTGAAATGTCGCTGTGCCACGTAAGAAGCACCCGTAGCTAGACCCATAGGTTTGCTAGGCATCCCACAAAATCAACAGATCCCCCAAAAGTTTCAATGGGCAAACTGATGATGACATAGTTATACAAAGCACAGTTCTGTGACAAGTTGACCAGGGAGATTTGAGTGGCCCTGGATCGGAAGTGTTACCAGGGTGTGGAAGGGAGAGGGGGAGAGGTGTCATCATCTACCAGTATCAATTACCTGACATCTAGTCCTGCCTGGCCTCTCATAATTTCAGGATCCTAGAGCAGGAAGAGAAGGTGGTTGGGGAAGTAGTGCATGAAATGGGGAAAGTACTTCAGTAACCTAGAAATAGAAGCAGATAAGAAGTATCGTGTTGACTGGCCACAAGCCTGCGGCACATCTATGGACAAAAGGAAGCAGCAAAGCTTCAGAAGGCAACCATGGCAGTGATTCTCCACCCACCCATCCAAGTTGAGTCATTTTGTTATGGTCTGATTCATCCCAGAATTCATTAAGTCACTGAAACACCCACCAGTCTCTAATAGGTAATTAACATTTATTTACAAAATAAATTCTTTTTAAAATGTTCAATAGCCAATCAAATTGGCTCTCTGACCTTATAAGATCAAATAAGATTTGACTAAATTTAACCATTTAATTTTCTTCTGAGCTCTGTTTCCCAAAGTCTATGTTTTTACCACGGACAGGTAAAGTTGATACCAAAGATTTCGTGAACTCAAGAATCAAGGTTCTTTGTACCACCAATCAGAGTTAGACTTACCTCTGCATCTTTGACAGTTGACTAATCCTGGATCCCTGACATAAAATCTACACATTCTTGTAGAAATTCAGCATGCTTACACTTGTTGGCAGGACTATGCCTGAACCAAGGCGATGCTTCTTGCTCCTAATCAAAGGACTACTTCTGACCATTGTTTTTTGAGCAGCTCTTCTTCTTCTTTAGCATGGATCCTGGGGCCCAATGGTAAATATTTGTGACCTTAAATTGAGAACTAGCTCAATAGTCCAAATGTATTTCTGACTCGCTTCAAAGAGTCAGGAGCTACTCAGTCCCTTTATGTACCACTCTATCAAAACTGGCACCTCCAGTCCTCCTCATAAACCATGGACCTGAGATGGCAGGAAAGCCTCTGTTTGCCACATCCTGTCCCCCACATCAGAGAGATGCCAGTAGGATGAATGCAGGTTTTACCAAAGGAAGGTCTTAAGAAAGTCAAATGCCATCATTATTAATTCCCTGCTGTTTGGCTGGGATGGAAGCCACTAGTACACCGATGGGAGCGGCTTCACTCCAAATAAATAAACACATGTCCTTTGGGCAGATGTCAGGTCAGCTCTGGCTGTTAACTGATGGCCCCTCACCACAGTGGCAGACACAGCACAGGGAGGCGAGGTGACACTGGCAGCCCAGACGGAGTCTTCTGCTTCATTGCAACAAGCAGTCTGGAACCTTGGCCACGCTTGAAAATCCATCTCTTTGAGCTGATGCAGACAGCTTAATGAAGCAATATTTATGGAACTGATACCACAGGGGACGGTTGCTCCTTTTCTCCATCTTCTATTTTTAATATTTGATCTGGCAAACATATTATTAAAGGAATATTTCAAATCTGATTACTCTACTGTTAGACTGTGTGTTTTATTCATACACACTGAGTGTCAGGGGAAATTATACTGACCAGTTTGGAGCTTTATTATGTCATTCTTTCAAACAGCCCTTTGCTCTGAGTATAATTACCATTCACATGCAAGACTGGGCTCTCAGCTAATCTCAGCCACCTCGCCTTAATTACAGTGGCCTCCTCCTTCTTCTCCAGTCTCCTCGAGACCCATCCCAACTCTCTCTGAGGATCAGGAACTTGCTTTGGGAGAAGTAGTCTCTCTGGGTGTCTTCACAATTGTGTTGTTGTTGTTGTTTTGCCTTGTCTATCACTGAGGTGTTTTTGAGCTGCAGTTTTCCCTATACAACACTGTTTAAAAAGTGAACAGATCACCTTGGAGCGGCCTATCCTTGGCTATGAGCTCTGGTCCAGCCATAGCATGGAGTTCACTCTGCTGGAGTCCACAAGTCTTTTGAGTCTGCTTTTCCTTAGCTAGAAGATAGCTCTACCTTGAACCACCCAATAAAGCTATCCTGCCTCAGGTTGGGCAACTGGCCCTATTTCTAACTTGGCTTTTAACAGGTCAGAGGAAGGCTTTGAGTCCCTAAGCAAGGGGGCTACAATCATGCAGATGGGTAAAACATGGCCCCAGCAAGCCAGACATGACTCAAGGTTGATGGGGCACAGAGCTCAGGGTGCAGGTTCATCTCTGTAACACACTGCAAGATGCGGCCTCACTCAGCACCAATCTGAACCTCGCAAATTCAGTGATTTTTTGTTTGTTTGTTTTGGCACGGGGGATCGACCTTGGGACCTTGTGCTTGCGAGGCAGGCGGCAGAAACACTGAGCTAAATCCTCAGCCTAAATTCAGTGATTTTTGCCAATTATTTGCTGTTTGCTGTTTCTATAAGGGCCATTTCAAGCACTAGTCATCATCACAACTCCTTGGCTCTTCCATTACAACACCAAAGCAGCCATTGTTCATATGTGCACTAACAAGCATGATTGTGTTCCAATAAAACTTTATGCTAAAACAAAAAAACAGTCAGTGGGTCAGATTCTGGTTTTAGACTTTCCCTTGAATTAGGCATATTTTTGTAACAAATCTCAAATATTTAGCTTGTTAAAGTTCGATGCAAAATTTGTCAGTTAATATATTTTTCCCTACAATACTAAAAACACTTTAGGGTCAAACATTTTTTAAGTTCCTTTATATTTCACCTGAATCCTTTTGAGAATGCCAGGTCAGATGACTAAAGGTAAACCTGAAACATCCAGTGGCCTTGAGTACATGGTTCTTTTAAGGTGTAGTTTTGGCAGGGAGGGGGGATTATTGGGGATTGAACTCTGGGCCTTTTGCAGAGCGCATCACCAGTCCTTTTTCACTTTTTAACTCTGAGACAGGGAATCACTAAGTCACTAAGTTGCCCAGGCTGGTGAGACTGGAGTTCACAATCCTGCAGTTTCAGCCTTCCAGAGTGCTGGCATTATAGGCATGTGCCACCACACCCTGCTCCTCTCAAATTTTATCAGACAAAACAGTGACAAACCCTGATCCCAGGGTCTCTGCAGTCCACGCCTGGCCCCCACACTCTCTGACCCTGCGGGATTCCCAGGCCAACTTCCAGGCAACAGCAGCACTCATTCTCATTGGACAGATGCCACTGGGGCCAGGGGGGCTGCGTCTCAGGGCTCAGATGCTAACAGAAGCAGCATATGATAAACAAGTCGGCAAATAATATATATAATTATAGTAAAGATAAATTCAAGGGAGGAAAAAGTAGGCAGGGTAAAAGAACAGTGTTATAGTTTGGAGAAGGAATGTTCCCAAAAGGCTCATGTGTTGAAGCCTTGGACTTAGGTGCAGCATTGTCCACAGGTAGGGCTTTGGGAAAGTGACTGGATCATGATATCTCTCTCTCTCTCTCTCTCTCTCTCTCTCTCTCTCTCTCTCTCTCTCTCTTTCTCCCTTCCCACCCCATAATCTACCTCATCACAGGCCCACAAGCGACACAGCCAAGTGACCACAGACTGAAACTATGAGCTAAAAATAAATCTTTCATCCCTTTGGTTGTTTTTCTCAAGTATTTTGTCACAGCAATGGAAAGCTGACCAACACAGATAGAGAGGTCCGGGGCTCCTGGAGACATCATGGGGAGGGAGGGCATCTCTAAGGAGGTGACACTGGGTCAAGAGTGGGAGGATGGCAAAGAGTGGGCTATGCAAAGCAGAGAGGTGCAATCTGAGCAGAGGAAACAGCAGGTGCAAAAGGAGAGGTGAGACAGAGCCTGTCATGGTCAAGACACAAGCAGCAGCTAGGAGAGCAGGAGGACACAGTAGGGAGGAAGATGCCTGGAGGAGAGGCTGGAGGACCCTCTGGCCAGGGCCTAGAGTTGAGGTTGGAGACCATGCCTGCATGCCAGAGTCTTCACCAAGTCTCAGTCTGTCCACCTACACTCTCTAGCTACTGCTAACACACACTTCCCTTGTCCCCTAAAACCTGTCCTTATGCATTTCCTGAGAAGTTGTGGCATGAAATTTTAGAACATCAAACATAAGGGCACAGACCTGCTGAAGAAACCCCCC